TGTGTGTGCGTGTGTTTGTATGTGTTTGTATGTGTGTGTGTGCGTGTGTGTGCGTTTGTATGTGTGTGTGTGTGTGTGTGTGTGTGTGTTTGTGTGTGTGTTGTGTGTGTGTGTGTGTGTGTGTGTGTGTTAATGTACAGTATCACAGCCCTGTCAGTGTCTGCGCATGTGTTTCTGTATATGTGCACATGTGTGCGTATATGTGTACCATATTACTCAAGACTAAACAGATAAATCTATTTTTAATATTTCGTATTCTCATGCTGCCCTTTTTTTTATTACCGAAGTTACAAAGCACCTATACGGCGAGTTTTGATGACGACAAGCCCCAGTTTCCAGGGACAGGTACAAAGGTCAGATTCACTGAGAAACTTGACTTTCTCCTGCCCGACGCTTCACCGGCCATTCCCGTCTACAGGGTCATCGACCGACAGGGCGAAATATTGGATCCAGCGCAGAAGCCTGAGGTACTTTTAGGACCCTTTATAGACTCAATATACCTCTTTTATATACTGTCTATATGATGCACATAATTTCTCCAGCACTTAACAATTTAGCAGTTAATTTTTACCTTACAATTCTCTTCACAGCTTCCTGAAGATGTAGTTCTAGACATCTACCGCAAGATGGTGTTGTTGAACACCCTTGACACGATCATGTTGAACGTCCAGCGACAAGGGAGAATCACGTTCTACATGACGAGTTATGGAGAGGAGGGTACACACATGGGCAGCGCTGACGTCATCTTCGGGCAGTACAGGGAAGCAGGTACGTGTAACGTTTCTAGCTTCCAATATGGCTTTAAAATAATGTGCGGCCCTAAATGCAACTCATGATCAAAGGAAACATATATTTTATACGGTTTCACTTTTAGACTGTTCATTTACTGGGCTTCTGCGCGGTAACGTTTCGAGCAAATACAGTTACATAAATGACTAAAATAATTTGACAAAAGCCATTGAACAATACCAATACCACATTGTAAGATACCATGATTGTGTAATCTAGAAATCTGCAATCTCTAAGTTGACGGTCATGTCCCTACCAGGAGTGTTCCTCTGGAGAGGTTTCACGTTAGACGACATGATGAACCAGTGTTTCAGTACGCACCAGGACGTCCACAAGGGGAGAATGGTCCCCATCAACTACGGCTCGCGCGACATCAACTTCGTCTCTATGTCCTCACCCCTGGCCACGCAAATACCACAGGGTAAATAGATAGTTACATGCTCCAACCATATCCCAATCCCCGTGCAAAAATTGAAATATGATAACACCGGTATTCTTTCTAAATTTCTTCTAGCGCCACACAAATATTTCATTTATTCTGAAAAAAATTGGAAAGTCTCAAACTATTCTATCAAGTATATGCTTGATCAGCCATATAAGATGACAAAACTACAGTGAAAAACACAACTGTTTTTTTATTTATTTCTCAACTGACAACGTTCTATTGTTTTCCCGCCCTTCAAGCTGCCGGAGCAGCCTACGCGATGAGGATGTCGGGAAGGTCCCTGTGCGTGACGTGTTACTTCGGAGATGGCGCCTCCAGTGAAGGAGACACCCATGCCGGGTTTAACTTTGCTGCTACACTCGACTGTCCTCTCCTATTCTTCTGGTAAACAACACTGTGAACGTTGTCTTAAATATCTGTGAATCGCGTCTTTAAAGTTCTTTTACAATCCATGACTTTTATGGACACCCGTCATTAACAAGTGGAATAACCTCTAATACATGTATTCTTACTAACCAGTCGCAACAACGGATATGCGATTTCTACGCCAACGTCGGAACAGTACAGGGGAGATGGAGTAGGTAATTGTTTTCATTTGTATACTTCGCTGCCTTTTCTTGTATTTAAGTACGAGGAGTCCTATGCCAAGATCAATCTCTGGTGGTGTTTTTCTGATCAGACCCTGTTCTTTACTGTCGGTTTGTTCTCTGTTTCTTTCTTTCCTTCCCTGTTTTTGTTTCGCACAACCTTTATGATTCCACCAAAACTGCTCTCATCTTCTGTTGTCAGTGTTGAACTGCAGATAAGTCTTGCAATTCAATTCAATTCCATTCATTTGATTTCACAAGGGCTTGTTTGTTCGCCATTGCTTATCCATAAAAAGTATTATACTTTCAGCATCTCGGGCCGCCGGATACGGGATCTCAGCTATCCGGGTTGACGGAAATGACGTATTTGCAGTGTACAACGTCACCAAGGCGGCCAGGGAGGTCTGCATCAAGGAGAGCAAACCTGTACTCATAGAGGCCATGACATACAGGTACTATTGTATATGCGAAAAACAGGATTTACATGCACCATCATACAATTTGGTTTATCGTTAGATAATTCTATCATTGCAATTAATCTCCTCCCGAATAGTCTTCATCTACGTCATCAGTTCCCTTTTTGAATCGATTTTTTTGATCGATCGTAGAATTGGAGACCACAGTACGAGCGATGACAGCACCACCTACCGGACGTCAGACGAAGTGCACCAGTTCAAACGGGACAGTCCGATAACCCGACTCAACAGTTACCTCGTCAAGAATGGACTGTGGGACACGGACAAGGAGACTGCCTACAGGGAAGAGGCTAAAAACAAGGTAATCATTGTTTCATGTAGGCGTGAGAACCAGAAAACTGGTGTACCATTGTTTGGCTGCCATATAGTCCATGCTTTATTTACGTCACATTTGCAAACTTTTTCGTTGCTGGCTTGACATATATATATATATACTGTACCATGATATATAACAGGCCTGTCATAAGTTGCAGAAGATATATATATACCCTAACAAACTAAAATTAAACAACTTCGACAACACACAAAAAGTAAGGGAGTTTGTTGTTGCAAATCTCATTTCAGTACCACGGACATCACCAATGAAACACAACAGCTTTTGGTATGTGTAGGGCTTTAAATCGATCCCATAACACCGCTCACTGCGTCACAACATAAACATGCACACATATGTATATATATATATGACGGGCATATGTAGCTGCTCTTTCATTGGTCGAAACACTAATTGCCATGCTACCATTGGTTGAACTGCTAATTTGATGAGCAGCCAGGATTGGTCTATAGTTGATTACATCATTCTCCAGCTGTGTTCATGACATAAACATGCTTATACATGTATACGTGTTTGACGGACAGGTGCTGGAGGCGTTTGAGCGCGCTAAGGATCGGAAGAAGCCGCCGATCTCCGCCCTGTTGACGGACGTGTACGACAGCATGCCTGCACACCTGGAGCGACAGGCGGCGCACATGAGACGTCACGTGAACAGATACAGCGAACACTACCCCGTACAGGACTTTCTTGATGAAGACAGTACCGGGCGATGACGTAAAACACTGTGTGATGTTCTTGACTCATTTTTTCTTTATTTTGACACGCATATAGTGACGTGTTACTGTCAACACATCAACCAGCCACACGTCGCCCTTTAACTACGCTCCAACTCCGTTTTTGACAGTGTGTTCTGCCACCTTAACCAAAATTACCTTCCCTGTGGTAGTCTGCACCAGCTAAGAACGCGGGGTGAAAAATAGTAAACTGTAGCCAGTTACCTTCTCAGAAAGAAAACACAGTTTTATGTCAGTTTCTTCTTGCTCCTCTCCCGTTCTAAACAAATAAGGTCAATGACCTGCAGGGCAAACCTGTACTGGTGGCAGCATAGTGGTATAGTGCAGTGCAGTACAGTGCAGTGCATCAACATAGAAGCTTCAACAATGAAATCTGTGGCTTCAGGAATGCTCAAATAATATATGCGGCGTTTAGGTAAGAATATACACAACAGTATTTTGATTTAACTACACTATATAGTGTATACATATATTAAATGATGGTCTGATGGATGCTGTCACTTCGAATTCCTGCCCTTAAGCAACAGTTGACCTGTTTTTGTGTCCTTGCGATACTGTTGTCTGTCACACGTGAGGTGCCAAGGAGAAGCGACTTGTAATGACGTGTTACATTGTCCAGCCAAGGGAAAGTTGTTTGCGGCACACTTTTTAGACATGCCATTAACATAACTTCCCCGCCTGTTAGCACAAGACACTATTTACTTTGCCATCAATTCAAGTGACAAGTAAGACTCACGTAAGTGCCTAACAGGACAATTTGTAGATTTTAGTATGTCGCATTAATCCCATCGTCCCGTTCGGTATGGAATCGGGAAAACAGGAAAAACCACATGCACGCCTTCATCGCCCAGGGTTGTAAATACCGTGGACCTAACGTAGGGCCACACAGTCGACAGGCTTCGAATGGCGAATTAATCCCTTCGGCCGTATTTCTTCGTAGTCGGGAGGTCGTCAAACTTCGCCAAGCAAAATCGTCCGAGTGTTGAGCGTAATTTTCTCTAATCTAGCCTATCAATTGGGACGGGGACAGCGACAGGCGAACATCGGCGGATTCCTGAAAATCGCTCGATAATCGAGAGAGTACCGGGTGTATTACTGTCGAAAACTGGGTCGATTTGAGCTCGCAGGTTCGTCCGTCAACCATTTTTTTCTGCTGTGTAAGAGAAACGGCCGACATGCCGGCCCTGAAGGCAGCCTATCTTCTATCTCTTCTGTTGGTGACGTTACAACAGGCCGCTTCTACAGGTAGGCATATGTTTCTTAACTTGAGTCAAAAGTTGATTGCACTAGATCCTACTACAGCAACGTGTGAATGTGACCCCAGGAGCCATGCGATTACAAACCTTCCCAGGTTTCAAGTCAACAAGAGATAGAGTCGACAGTTTTAAGATTCTGACTCATTAGAATGACGGGCGCAATGCAAATGTCTCATCAAGGATGTTCTGATAGAACGTCCTTGGTCTCATCAAGTTTAATAGAGAATGAAGGACATAGTGCAGATTGTCTCAAACTTGTAAACAGTTCAGCGTAGTTGTCTTAAAAGTCGCAGACAAACTCGTAGCGAATTGTCTCAAACACGTAGAAACTCGTGTGGCACAGCCATTTTGCTGATTTCACTGTGCGTCGATATGATGCGCACTAGACGACTCGAGACAACAATTAAGATGCGATCCGGAGATGTGAGCTTTATTCAGGACATCTCGAGGAACACAAGAATGGTGGACGAAGGGTGCGACGCACGAGGTGACCTCAAGTAGGGTCACGACCTTTAGGTCAAACTAATAACCAATATCGTGTTATAACATAACAATATAGTGACGGTGTACCAATTCGAAATTCAGTCATGAAACTAACTTCAGATGAGAAGTACTATTGTGAAGTACTTTGAAGTATTGTGAAGTATACCAGTAATGCATGTTAGACATCCAGTTTGTGGTCACATGCAGATGTCTAATTACATACACCTGGTGACAGGCCACTGAAATATACATATAGAATACAACACGGGGTATTCCGTATCGCCCGAGGTATCGGCCCGACCGCGGGTCGGATCGCCCGACGGCCGCAGGCCGGAGGGCGATCCGACTCGCGGGAGGGCCGGGACCGAGGGCGATGCGGAATACACCGTGTTGTATTTTATTTATATCATACCCACCCAAGAAAACGTGCCTTTCAATGCAAGATGAGCCAAAAGTTGGTGCCCCTGAACCCTCAAATGCAACAACATCAGTTCCAACGTACGGATTCTGTATTCGAATTTTCGAAAGGGGTGCACGCGGTTAGGACGAAACGCGTTCGAATCGTTTTATGGAAGTCATGGAAGCGTTCGATAACGGGTTCCGGACCGGGTATGATA